CTCCCTATCTGTTTACATTTTTAATAACTACAGTTTAATATTTGCTTATAGGAACTTTTATTGACATCCCAGCGGGTAATACTGGTCAGTGAATGGTCACATCTCTGCAAACACATTCAGCTTTAAGTGGCTAATTATAATACAATACCAAGTAAATGGTTAAATTCTTCCCTCCGGAAATATTTTGCCAAAAATAAGATCTACAGATGAACTACTATCTCTGGTAACTTGCTAATTGATACTGCATCTGATAAAGAGGTTTTTTTTGAAAGGACGGAAAGAGGTTCCTAAGAGATGTGCTATTTTCTTCTTTGTTACTTCAAAGCATTATAGAGCAAGCAGAGTTTCAAACTCTTGTGGCCCAGCTGTGAATGAATCTAATTTGGCTCTTGATCACAGAGTTAATAAGCTTAGTCCTCTGTATTTCAGGGCATAAGTCGTTGGTCCCTTAAGAGAAGGTGATTGTAAAGAAAAAAAGAAACGCCAAAGTGCCCAGTTACTTCCTGTAAAATAATCTGTCCATTAACTCTCATGGTCAGCCATAGTTCAACCGACCATAATTCATTTGCAAGGCATCAGAAAAGATTTAGTCTTTGTTTCCATCTCTTGGAACTTTTGCCTGGACAAAGACCTTCAGTTACCAAAAACGTGGTGAGAACAGACTTGTTTTGAAAAGTATACTGATGTGTAATGCATCCAAATGTGTTTCTGTTCTTACCAAATTAATTTCCATTGTTTTTAGAAACTGGATGCAAACAAAAATTCTAAAAATCTAATAAATTTATCTTTTTTTTCAGTCTACTTGGAAACAAAATATTGTAAGTCTAAGTTTAATATGAACAAATTTCTGATAGAAATGCATTTCCTGGTATCCTTCTAGAGAATCCTGTTACTCTCTAAAACTATGATATATAATAAAAAACAAACATATTTGGTTCTCTATGTGGGCACAAATAAGCTCCCTGCAGGAATACAGCTCTGCTGTGCTCATGATTAAGGAAAAACATGCAACCAGAGGAAAACTGGACATTCTTAGGAAAGGTTTCTATTCTTAGGAAAGAAATGGAGGCCAAGAATAGATTACAGCCACTTAGAATATTAAACTCTGCTATCTAGAATGATTTCTGACTACCAAATACAAAGCTTCATTTCTCTTAATAGTAAGTCTTGTTCTGAAGGTTTTTTTATTTGATTTGGTATTTTAATCATAGACTGGGAAGAAATTCGTCATTTTTAACATACAAAAGGAAAAAAACAAGCAAAAACCACACACAGTTTATAGAAAAGAATGTTATTAAAGATGGTGCTTCAAGTTTGAAAGCCATAAGGTTTCTTTCTTTTAAAGGCTCAGAAACTTCAAAGATTAGGGAAACAGAGAGTAAAAAAGATTAATCATGGGAGGCTAAATTTTCCCAGCCTGGGTTCCAATCCCACCCCAGCTATTATCCACAATGGCTCTTCTGGGCCCATGAGAAATGAGTTTATGTTTGTCTGGCACAGAAAACTTGTGTGTCTTCACACCTTCAGCATCACCATATTTCTCCTTGAGCAAGTTCTGATCTTCTATATATAACATTAATAAAATCTGGCTCACTCGCTGACCCAAAGAAAGCTGTTTGTGCCACCATCTACAAAGTGAGGTGATTATATAAATAATTCAAAATCATGCTAATCCCACACTTCCCTCATATATTTTTTATGGTCTTGTTCAACAGAAACCTGCTTCTTTGTAGAAGCCTTCTAGTGCTCAAGGACAGAGAACTATGGTCTTCACAAAAATTAAAATGTGAAAGCAAACACATATTGTTAACTTCTGAAGAGAAATGTGAAGTTAATACTGATTTAAAGTAGGCAAAATAAACAAAGTTCTGGCGAAGTAGGAGTCATTCACAGTAATTTTAATCTAACAAGAATGAATACAGCACTTCCTATGATCAGTTATGGAGATGCTGAAGAGAACTCATGCCCTGACCAGCTGGTTCTGAATCGTCTCCTTATAATCTAGTTTAGGAACAATCTCTTTTATTTCTCCATATTTCAGAATCATACCAGAAAACTTTACCATTTTTAAAAACTTTTATTTGCTTTTATTTAGTCAGGGTCTCCTTCTGTCATCCAGGCTGGAGTGAGGTGGCATGATCACAGCTCACCGCAGCCTCAACCTTCTGGGCTCAGGCAATCCTTCTACTTTAGCCTCCTGAGCAACTGGGACTACAGGAATGCACCACACCATGCCCAGTTAATTGTGTGTGTGCCTGTGTGTGTAGACGAGGTCTTACTCTGTTGCCTAGGTTGGTCTTGATCTTCTGGGCTCAAGTAATACTCTTGCCTCAGTTTCTCAAAGTGCTGGGATTACAGGTGTTAGCCACTGCATCTGGCCTGCATTTATTTTATGTGAATTTATTCCTGTGCCATAATTTTTTGTTTCTTTAGGGACATCTTTTTGTTCTGTGCAGGCTCCTCCTCTGGCTTAGGGACAATTTGTTCATTTTCAGTGAGGGTAATCTTGATGTGGCAGGGGAACTCCTGCATGGGTTAATTTGATCATGAACTCTGTAAGTGCAGTGGCGCATCTTAGGCACTTTGTTCCACCTGGATGTGCTCAATGACCAGAGAATCCACATCTAAACCCTTAAGTTCAGCATTACTCTCTGCATTTTTAAGCATGTGCAGCAAAAAATTCAGCACTCTTTCTGGGCCTCTGACCCTGTGGCCAGCCCCACTGTTTGGCCTGGGAACACCTACCAACTCCTGCATTGTAATGTCAGAATGGTACACATTGTTTCTGTAAAGATGCTTGGTGACTTTCTGTGTATACATAAGCATACCCTTGATGGTTTCACAGGAGTTCTTAAAATGAACATGAAGATTTGAACCTCTTGGTAGGCATGATTTTGTGTGTTTTATGGGTCAAGAGAATAAAGAACCATGTTCACAGATCACTTCAGGCCACTTAAGGGAAGAGGAAGCCCCATCGATTCTTTACATATGGTGAGTTCCTTCTGACCAGGCCATGGCTCTATTTATGACATTGGTCACTGAGTGGAACTTTTCCATCATCTTCTAAAGAGCAGAAGTGATTCCATTCTGGAAGCAGGGCTCAGCCTTCAAAACCTTCTGAAATTGAATTTCTAAATATGGGCCCACAACCTCAGGCTCTGATCCACCACACCACTGAGGCAGAAGTGGTGTGCGTGTTTGCTTTGTTTTTGTTTGCTTACATCCAATCACCTTAAATCTCCTTCCCACTCTGTGTGTACAGTCACAGGGGCAGAAGAGATCAGATGTGTCTTATTACGTGGCCCAGTTACTATTGAGCTGACAAAGAACCCCGCAGAAGCTGAAAACCTGGCAATCAACTCTAAGAGACTGAAATCTACATTTGTGCTTCATTAAGTCCAATAAAGAGGCATGGCTTTTTAGAGAAAAAGACAAAATGCAATCTAGAAAATACAAGTATCAAAGCACCTTCTCTTCATGCGTATTATTGAAATAAAGTAAAAAGTCCCACAAGCAGCCAGATAAGTTTTCCATACAATTAACCAGTTGGCAACAGACTATACTAGTAAGGTCTAATGACAATAATCTAAACAACCTATTTCTTGCCTTTCAAAAGTATATTTGAAGTTATTCAATTAAGGTGATTGTATTTTCAGTACCCTTAGTTTACTAAGTTGATGATAATAACAACATAAACAATTCGATTGCCTGGTACAGTATGGGTCTGGTGTTTCATGGATATTATTTCTGACCCATAAGATAATACTACTGAGTAGATATTATTCTATCACTTTAGAAATGAGGAAGTTAACACTTTAAAAAAATCCTCCTAACATCGATTATTTCCTACATGTGACACTCAATGCTAAGTGCTTCATACGCATTCTAATCATCACAAAGTTAGGAAATTTATTTAAAGTCAAAAGTCCACACCGTAGTTGATTTGATTGCTGACCCAACACAGTTGATTTGGTTGCTGACCAAAGTCTGGTAGACTCCAAAGTCCTATGCATTCTGTGTCCCACCTCTCAGCCAAACCAGAACTTGTGGACATTAAATATTTCAATCATGCAGGATGGAAGAAGTCCCAGTGGCTGCCTCCACTTTGTAGACTATACGATCCTCAAAAGCAAGAACTATGTTTTATTTGCCTTTATACCTTTCATGCCTATGACAATCCTACATACACAGTGGATACTCAAACAATATTTGTTGAGCAGAACATTTCAAAAGAATAATGTACCTTGGGGCAAAAGCTAATGGTCAGAATACACACAGTATAGCCTACTCTCACTGAGACAGGCAAAAACAGAAGAGAATTCTTACAAACATAAAAGCCACAAGATAAATACAGAGATGGAGACCAAAAGAGGAAGTCAGACTGCTGTGCCTCCCAAAGTGTGATCCTTAGAATATCTGCAACAAAAGTAACTGAAATTCTGACTGAAAGCAAAAATCCACAGGTGTAGCCTGAAATATATGCAAATCAGAAACTCTAGGGCTTGGATCTGGGCATCTTCATTATTATGTACTCTCTAGATAATTCTTAAACACAGGAAACCAAAAGGTACAGGGCATAGGAAGTTGTAGGAGGTAATTATGCTGAAACTGAGAATTAGATGCACAGAGAGGAAGACCAGCTATTATCTTACCTATAAAGGATTGATCTTTTACAAACAATCCTCCTCCTGGGACACGGCGGTTCACTTTGATAACTGACTTAGCGTTGGCACGAGTACAAGGGAAGATGATTCAGGATCAGAGTGATTGTGTAGGGAACAGAGAAAACAAGCCCAATAATCTGCCTTAAAATAAAAAAGCACACTTCTGTGAAAAGGTGAGGGTAAAATATAAAGCACCTTTTGTTAATGACTGCACCCCTCGATGAAATCACCAGAAGTTTCCCCTCTACTGAAAGCTGCCTTCTCCTGGTCATTTTTCAATTCACTTCTTATTTGAAATAAAGTGACATTTCTGCAGCGAAGAGAATAGAGTCTTACTTGAAGGATGGAGGTAGATAATGTCTTTCACTGTGAAGTCTCGGGACTGAGCAGCTTTCAGACAATCAGCCAGCAGGCTCAGGAACAGGAGCCAGGCCAGAGCAGGGCCAGGTTCCATGGCAGATGGTAGCGTCACTCATACAGAGGGCCTGGGAGTGGGGACTCGGGACGACGGGAGAGAGCTCGCACCTGAAATATGAAGAAAGACCCATCTCAGTGTTCCAGTGGAGAAAGCCACAGGAGGCTTGGCTGAGCGCCTGTGTTGGGGAGAGACAGGGAGCCAAGGGCACAAGGAAGTGGGTAGGCATGGGGAGAAACCTTAAAACAGTAATTTTAGAGCACGTAGAACATTCCAGCCCAGATCTATGCTTAATCAGGTTGCTAAAGCTCCATTGGTAGCCGTTCCCTCTCATATTCAGCAGAGATGGTATCAAGGGAGATTGAATTTTAATGAAATCCAGCTATTTTTGCCAGAAGGCCAGGGGATGGCTGCCAGAGTGCAACAATAAAGAAGTCAGGTACAAAATCTCAGAAACATTTCCCCGATAACGATGTAGGGCCAGCATGGAGTGCAGCCTTCCCGGCCCACGGTGCAGGGCAGACTATCATATTTGGGAACACAAAGAAATATCGGCATGTTGACCTCTCCTAAACCAATAATACAAAAAATCCCCTTAACATAACTAATATTTGCTGGCCAGGTGTTACTGAGGTTCTCTACATATATCAGTTTATTCTCCTAGAAACCGCGAGTAAACTGAGGTTCAGTAAATAAGTAGAGAAGCTGACTCAAATGCAAGCAGTGTGGATTTCAAGCTTGCATTTTCAAACACTAGGCAATTCTGTGTTCTTCCTAAGCCTGATTCAGGGTGTGTAAACAAAAACTGCTGAGATAAGATCAAGTTATCGCTGTAGCACTAAGCAGTCATCTACTCTGTCCTTTTTTCTGATTCTGTCCCTTTCCTCTCAAAATTGAGAACAATGCACCTTTGCAATAAGGTTGAACTGTCCCATCTTACTTGTAATGCAGAGATATGACTTAATTTTTAGATATGTGCTATTTGCTTGCTATCATCTTGGTTTCCTACAAAGTTTTTCCTCATGATCTAGTACTTTTCCAAGTACCATCATCTCTATTGCTCATGCTAGGGGTCAAGGTTAGATACTCATTTTATTTTAACCTGGTTGAAAAACCATAATTTTGATATTTTGTTTACAGATTTTAATACAAATGTTCAACAATATTTTCAAATGGCATGACAAAATAATTTTAAAATTACTTTGTAAAAACAAATGGACAACAAGTAAATAGTATATATGAAACAGAAACTCAGTAGAGAAAATCAATATTGCCTAATCAGACATTAGAATGTACTATAAAGCAATATCAATCAAAACAGAATGACAGAAAGTATAAAAATCAATTAACATTATAAGAAGCCCAGAAATAGACCCAACTATTTATATGATACAAGCAACTTTTCAAAATTATAGGACAATATCAAATGAGTAGTATTATGAAAACTTGATTAAATTTTGAAAGAAATTTAACTGAAACCAAACAATGCATGATACACTCAAATTGCCTCCAGATGTATTCCTTTTTTTTTTTTTATTGGTAAACTTTTAGAAAATAGAGTAGAGCTCTTATCACCTGTAATGGCTCGATGATGCCAACCTTGCCAATTTCATGTTCACTATGCCATCTTCGGCTTACAATTTGGTTCTCCGAAGCAAAATTGCATTCAGGAAGAGAAAGGGCTGCTCATTCACTTAATGAATATACTGCCAGACACTGTGCTAGGCACTTGGCTGAACAATATGATGAGAAAACAAATGTCAGTGGTGTCTTTCCTTTGCAAGTTAGCAGCCAAGTGACAGAGACAAACATTATCTCATTTTAAATGGATACAATAGTGCTTCATTTCACTTCCATTCTGGCTCTTCTCTGCCAGCGTGGTGAGGCTGGTAAGGCGAGGCTACACCTGAGGGACAGGTCTGTACAGCACCCTGTGAAGGCATGATTGCACCGTAGCCAACACGCTGATCTCCCAATTTGCAACAGGACTCAGTTTGAAAGTCAGAGATCAAAATGGCATGGGCATGATGTTTGTGACTGTAAACATAAATGTGAACAAATGTATGCTGTTAAAGACTGGGAAGGAAAGCATAAACTAAAGACATAGTAAAGACATAGTGCACTGGTTTGCTCAGGCTGCTGTAACAAAATACCTACACTGGAAGGCTGACACAACTCCTATTTATTTCTCACAGTTATGGAAGCTAGGTAGTCCAAGATCACGGTGTTGGCAAGGTTAGTCTTTCCTGAGTCTTTTCTCCGTGGCTTTCAGATGGTCACCTCCTCACTGCGTCCTCCCATGGCCTTTTCTTTGAGTGCACAGTCCTGTTGTCTCTTCTTCTTCTTATTAGGATGCCAGTCAGATTGGATCAGGGTCCCACCTGTATGACTTCATTTGGCCTTACTTACTTCCTTAAAGGTCTAAAGAACATAATGTAGTCACATTCTAAGGTACTGAGGATTAGGGATTCAGCATGTGAATTTTGTGGTCACACATCTCAGCCCCATTGCACAGGGGTTTTTCAGATAACATTTTCTGTCACATGATATGTCACAGTGATGTTGTTTCATAATCTAAAATAGTATAAATTACCTGAGGTGTCTTCCCAGGTCATAGGACGGTTGAGTTCCTCAGGGCAGGAATTTGCCATGATTACCTTTACCTTCCCTGCCTCAGAACCTGGCCACAGAAAAGGTTCAGTCAGTCTCTATGGAGGGGATAGGAACATTTACCTCAGACTATTCTGGTACCTTAGAAATGGGCTCCTGCCTTCCGCTTATGTCCTTTGCCAACGCATGCTGTGTTTTGCCATAAGAGATGAATGATTAAAAAAAAAATCACATCTGCTAAAAAGAAAAAAATAATAATCAATATTCATGCTACAAAATAAAACTTAATTTGAAGTCATACATACTATTACTATATCTTTTTCATGACCCCAAATATGATTAGGTGGGAATGGGGCATGTCTTGAAGTGATATTTTAAAATTTACTAGTAATAATCAAGACTATGAAAACTGATCTTTATAGTAAATAGTAAAGCGAACTCATGGCAACGTTTAAGTTTAAATTGATACAGATTAAGTATGGCAGAACTTTTATTCATTACTTTACTTTCTAAAAAAAAAGACTATGTAGCATCATTTTACTTTTTAATTTATTCTTCCACTGTAATCTTATGAAGCATTTTCATTTTTGTTTTATTCCGTTTAACAATGTGTTGCAATTGTTTAATATGTATCCTCCCCCATATCACTTATTTGTCATCTAATTGGCATTTGCAAACTTCTATGTGCAGAACTGAGAGCAAGCATGGTACTTCCCTTGTAGTGGAACAAACAGTCTGGGTTTGAGAGCAGGTGTTAATTACTAATCACACATAGTGGCACTAAAGAGCTCAGTCACAGAATTTCAATTCAGCCTCTCCTAGGAGAAATTTCTCTTTGGAACCCTTCCCCACCCACTAAAACCTACTCAATTCTAGAATACTCTAAAAGGCACATCAGTTCAAAAATTTTTTAACTTACTTTTCATGAGAAATACAGGTAGAAAAATTTTAGTAGGGAGTTTGCTTAGCCTTTAAAGTACAAAACAAAACAAAAAGGTGACTATTATGCTAGCTGAATAATGGTCTCCACTAAGATGTCCTTGTCATAACCCCAGAACCTGTAAGTATGTTAACTTACATAGTAAAGGGTACTTTGTAGATGTGGCTAAGTTAAGGATCTTGAGATGGGGAGATTATGCTGTATTATCCAGGTGAGCCCAACATAATCACAAAAGTCCTTATGAGCGGGAGGCAGGAGGATCAGAATTAGAAGTAGGAAAGGGCGATGGAAGCAGAGGTGGGAGGAATATGAGAAAGAGGCCACAAGCCAAGAAATACAGGTGTGTTTTAAAAGCTAAAAAAGGCAAGGAAATAGATCCTCTCCTGAAACTTCTAAAAGGAACCAGCCCTGCCAACACCTTGACTGTAACCTAGTGAGACTAATTTTAGATTTCTGACTTCCTAAACTATAAGATAATAAATTTGTGTTGTTTTAAATATGTGGTAAATTGTTATAGCCACAATAGAAAACTAATACAGTAAGTCCCTTACATATAAACCTTCAAGTTGCAAACTTTCAAAGATGGAAATGTGCATTTGCATTCCGTTCACATGTATGGCATACATTGTTATGTGTATGCATCCTCTACAAGTGGTTGTGCTTTTGTGTATTGTACAGTACTGTTTATTTTTAATGTATTATTTGATTGAAAAGTATTGTAAACCTATTACAGTACAGTATTATATTGCCAATTGTGTTAGTTGAGTACCTAAGCTAACACTGTTGGATTTATAAACAAATTGGACATATGAATGTGCTTTCAGAACAGAACTTATTCATATATAAGGAATTTACTGTACAACTATTTTAAAATCAGACCTTTAAACCACAGTATATCCTATTTACACAAATATGTAGAAAAGAAAAGTAGAACCACAATTGTCATTTCATTTTTATTTTGTTTTATTTTATTTTAAATATGTGGAATACAATTAAGAGTCAGGTATACAAGTGTTCATATGCAGGTACCCTTGTTGATGAGGTGTGCCCCTCCCCCTGGCAATTTCCCACTATTGCCAATCCCTCCCCTGTCCTCACCTGGCAGTTTCCCACTACTGCCAATCCCTTTTTTAGTATTACAATAGTTGTTCAAGGTCCACTTATGAGTGAGAACATGTGATACTCAGTTCTTTGTTTCTGTGATAAATCACTCAGTATCATAGACTCTAAGTCTATCCAAATTGCTGAAAAGTTCATAAATTTGTCCTTGTTTATGGCTGCCTAATATTCCATCATGTATATGTACCACTTTTTTTTAATCCAGTCACATCCTCTCCAGCATCTATTGTTTTTTGAGTTACTGATGATGTCCATCCTGACTGGAGTTAGGTGATATCTCAGTGTGGTTTTAATTTGCATTTCTTTGATAACTAGTGAGGCAGAACATTTTTTCACATGTTTGTTGGCTGCTCACATGTCTTCTTTTGAATCTATTTATATCTTTTGCCCACTTTGTAATGGGTCTGTTTGTTTTTTTATTTTTTTCCTTTTTTTTTTGAG